ATTAAATGTTTGCTCCAGTTCTTTCGCGCCTCTTACAGATATCTCACGAATCAGTTTTCTCATGTCCAACACATCCCAAAAAAGGGGTCTACGACCTCCTTACAACTACAGGTCTATGTGTATCTGCTTTCTGTTATAAGTATGATTTCCGGTACCGGCTATCCACAGAGGACCTCCTAGCTTGCGTCACGCAATTGTGTGCAGAAGTAAGGCTGACTTTATCTTTCGCCGCCGTAATTGACGGGTTCTCCTCTTCATCACACGTCAACGCGGGGCTTCCCCACGGACCGACCAAGGATTTGACACTGTTCCTCTTACATTCAACGACCTCCTTTCCTGTACGATCAGTCGAATCCACAACTTTGCTGATGACAGCACTCTACATGCAGGGATTCGGAGAGACAAGCTGATCTCTGCTGGTGAGCTGGCAAAAGAAGACTAGCACTTTCTCTCTAACGAGAGACATGGAGCTTATCATTGCTTGGGGACGCAACAATCTTGTACAGGTAAATGCTTCCAAAACACAGTACTGTACTTTGACGAACAAAAAGCGTCATAGCGCTCATCCGGTTTCGATGGATGGCCGAGTTCTGCCAAAGAGCCATTTATTTCGGCTGGTCGGATTCCAGATCACCGAGGACTTGATCAGGCTCGAACACCTTTCGTCAATAGCGGCAGCTCTATGCTATCCAGATTAGGGTTGTCCGACGGATCGATGACTCTAACAGACAATCTCGGAACTTTTTTACATCGGTGGGTCGTCGGCCATCTAGCTCCTTTCTACCGCTGCACCAACGGGCTTTGCTCCTCAGAGCTCTCCTCCATGATGTCGTTGGGCGATGTGCGTGCCATACAGATCCTCCAGACTTCGGCCTGCCATCGTAAGCGCATCGATCTTCGTACATTTAGAAGTGGCCGATACGACTGCTCCTTTGTCCCGAGGGTGTAGAGATTGTGGAACAATATACAACAGGAGGCTTTTCCCAGTTTTACTTACCCTAGGCAGTTCAAAAATTGGATCGACAAAATTTCTTTGGGATCTTCATAGCAGCCGTGGTCTCCTGACATTCAGGATTCTGCCTGCGCGGCTGCTTCGGTGTGAAAAAAACTTTCTCCCATTGTGATGCTTCACTCTAAAGTTCTGATGTATCCAGATGCTGCATTCAACAAGCCGCCAAAGCGGGACTGATTTCCAATATGCACTAAAATTACAACATTTTTGAGCGTCTAAGTTTCTGTACCAGTTATCCTCGTTATTTAAGCTATTGATTAATTTTTTGTTGCAAAACAATCTATCCACCGTCGGAAGAGGATTTTCCTAGATCTCTCTGACGAGGTACCAGATCATAAGCAATGGTTTATCCGTTTGCTGCTGTAAATTTTATTACTTTGCTCCCATTTCTGTTACTTGTGCTAAATTATAAAGCTCACGATATTTGACTGAATGCTGAAACCGTTCACCCCATACCCGGAAATAGATGGCAGAAAGTAAAACCAAGGAAGGAAAGAAGCAGCGACCGATTTAGTGTCATAAACCTCTAGCGGCACTGCAAAACGATAAAGGAATTTCGTGAACAACCACCATCAAGGGGGATCGGTACCAAGCGCTGCTGTCTCCCGATTAGGGGATGGAAACGCGACTTCTCTCCTGATTGATTAGTTTGTGCAGACCCGTGTTAATGTGATTCTCATAATTCGGTAGGAAAGTTGTAGTTCCTCGTATATATGATTTGAAACGTGTATGCTAAAATCTGTTGTGTAGTTCAAAAATGGTGTCAAGTAAACTGAATCCAAATTCAAGATGAGATGTAAATAATAACAGTTAGCGCGTGATCTCTCGGTAACAGGTGGGGACAATGCCTCTTATTGGTCAATTCGCCATTAAATTTCAAGCGGCCGCCTGGCGGAACAATGCGCGGGGCAGGGGCAGGGCAGGCAGAGTTGCGCTCAGGCCACCGTCCGTCGCGTGTATCACTGCGCTGATAAGTGTATTTGAGTAATTTGTTAAGTTTCTGTTTCTGTTAAATACTGTCATCTTTGTTTTACAACACGTTGGTGGTAGTCCATCATTCGGAGGTAGCCCTGAATGCGGCCCTGTATGCCCTCCTTGCTTTTGGCAATCACGCATCCATTCTATCTTGGGTGTAAATACACTATAGATTGAATTTCTAAAAACACCAAATTTTGTAGGTAAACTTTCCGTTATCGCTTTTCATGAACATTATTCGAATTTGCCAATAGGTTGTTAATTCTCCAAATATTCCAGCTTTTTATTTTAATAATTACGATTTGATATTTTTAACATGATGTCAACAGTTAAACTGGTTCATCATATACTCGTATCTGAAAAGAAATGACTACACTCTACTAAGAGACTGAGCATTTCTATCGTTTTTATGATACGTAGTCTGCTGAAATGCGCTACAAACTGACAAAAGATAAGTGAATCTCGTATTTAAAATCAAAATTGCTAGTAAGCTTACGAGTGTATCAGTTGGATGTTTAGTTGAATTGTATGTATTTATCTATTAAAATTAAATCCATCTTTTTGTATACCTCACAAGTGAATAAACAATATATTATGTGGACAGATGTGTGCTCGAAATCATCTTACAAACGATGGAATTTTTTATAAAAACGGTCTAAAAAATCAGTCTAGAAAATAAAAAGCAAAATCCTAGCGGGTTGTTAATACTTTGATTTGACTGCCACTCTGTTTCTAGTCTCTAGACCGATTCTCAAAAACTATAGCACTATTTCATCCTTGAAATAGTAGCAACTGCTCTCGAAGTTTCATCAGAATACAAGTAGTTATACAGAGACTAAGGATACCAGAGAGAGACACGGATGAAAATAAGCCTCGTAGTTTATCATGATGAGCAAAATATATAAACATCTAAGAAGATAATATTCAGAATTCGAAGCCTTTTTGTACTTTTTTGTGCCCTCAGGTTCAAACACTTAAAAAAGGACAACGACAAGTTTTAGAAAGCTTTAATAAATATTGACTAGTTCGTAAATATTTTCATCAAGCACTAAAATTGTCAGAAAGTCACAACATAGGCAAACATGGAGATAGAGAGCAATATGAGACCTTTTTGTCGTTTGCTCTTTCTTACCTCCATCTCCATTGTACCAATTTACAAAAATTAAGTAGCATTACCTACTGATACGACCATACAACATGAGCTTGCCAAAATTTCATCAAAATCAGTGTGATCGTCTCAGAGATTAGGTGGTTACAAAAACGCTAAGGGACAGGCAGACAGAGGGAAATTTCTGACGTGCGTTTTCGTGATGCTTGGAACGCCAAAAAAGCTTGCTTAGTGAAATTTGTAAATTTTCGCAATCCCCCGTTTATGCGTGTGAAGTATTCAAAATCTTCAATTTCTTTAAAATATATTTATAACTTCTAGTAGACGTTGTTTTCAGTCAGGTTCGGCTGGGGCTGTCAGAATTTAGTATGTGAAATACGCGAACTGATTGAAGGTAAGGTACAGTACACAATTTACATTGGATAGTAACGTTATAAGGTACTATTTTAAAAGAGTTATTAGAGGGCATGCATATGCATGATAACAGGAAAGACAGAAATCACCGTAGTCAATTGACACCTTCTTGGCATATACCGGGGGATTCAAATTCGACTCTCACCACTGGGATCTCAGAAACGCTGATAGATACGAAGACGCTCAAATGGGGGAACAGCTATGCATTTAGGGAACGAAGAAAATGGCACTCAGGAAGTTTCGCAATCCTAAGTATTTCCGGAGATAGATGGAAGAAACCGAATTTTTCCAAAATCGTTTTTATTTTTCCCTGAGTTTCGGTTGGGATTTCAGAATAAAAAGCACATTAACATTGCCACCTTTTTTTCCTCTACAAGACGGCGTACTTGGAAATTCAATATGACGATTCCTCTACTGATCTAAATCATCAACTTCATTTTTTATCATATACGTCATATTGGATTTCTTCACAAGTACATTCAGTTTTCAATTCTGATTGCAAAATGAATAATATGTTGTACATTGATATTGATAAACCCAGGTTATTCCAAAAAAACTAATATTTTCATAGTTGACTTTGAAAAAGTTTATCGCGATTAAATCACCAATAAATAATTTGTCCATTTATCGACTATTATAAGCATTATTTTAGCACGATGGAGGTGTTCTCCATAATACCTCAGCCGTAGATCAATTGCATTGATTAACATGGAATATGGTCAATAACCTGAAACATGGTCGAGGCTTTAACTTACAATAAAATGTTTTTATCGGTTTCATAAAATAATAATGTTTCCATTGTTCTCAATCTAACCCTTAAATAATATGAAAAGGTTTTAGCATTAGGTTGTTCTTTAGTTGATGAGTTAAGAGCAACTATAGGAAGATTATTTTTTAGACATTTAAATTTTCATAATATTAATCTATGTCACTATATATATACAATGTGTCACATCCTTAAAATTGGAAATATGGACTGTTCACCTACGTCTGGTTCATACAAACTGAAGGAATGCTTGGGTTATTGTATGAAATCAACGACTATCTGATAATTTCAAGGCCTACTCAGGAAACGTCTTTTTCTAAATAACGAAAGCTTAGCAATGTCAACATACGAGACATTGTAAATTTTTGTAGCAAAAATTTAAAACTCTATTCACGAATAATCCAACATGAAATAAACTTGATTGAGGAAACGTCATATTGAAATTCTAATTATGTCATCTTGTATATGAGAAACAGTGGAAATGTTATTGTACGTGTTATTTTGAAATCTCAATTGAAAAAAATGGAACGACTATAGGAAACTCTCAGAAAGTACTTGGAATTACATAGCCTTTAAGTCGTTTCCTTAGTTAGCTAAATCCGCTACTTTGCCCTCATTTAACTGACAATGATGAGAGTCGAATTTGAAACAGCCTGAATGAACTGGATGGAAACGAAAGATGGGAGAGTAACTACTTTTGAATAACGCGTGTTTAATATTTCCAGAGCTGGTACTTCTGGAAAATCGCTACAGGGATCAGCCCGGGTACAGATTCGAAGACTTCTTCTGGACAGGATCAGGAGAAGAACCCGACGAAAACCCTTGGAGTATCGATAAAACGGAAATCATTTACGAAACTAAAACGGTCGTATCCACTGTGTTCATCGAATCCCCACAATCTTCACACAATGAGGTAATTACCATCTTTGAAAGGACAATGAGAAACTCGGGAAACCGTTGTTAGTAACAACCTATTAGAACGTAAACTATGGCAAAAATTCTGTTCACATTGAGCTCTTACAAGTTCAGCCAGTTTGAGCTGGACCAAGCAATAAAGGTCACGAGGTGATACGTATTTTGATTTTTGACATCATCTCTTTTGAAATGGTTTCAATTACATCAATTTCAGCCCTACATCACAAAACTAAATATGATACATGGAATCATAATATACAGGGTGAGTTTTTATAGTGGGCTCAGCAGATAACTCGGTTATTACGCATAGTATCCAAAAAAATTTTAATCACAAAGAATGTAGTATGCTCCTTACCTTTAAAATATTTTTATTTCTACGGGGAGATTCATAATTAAGTGGTGACCCAAACATACATTTTTTAAATGGAAAGATCTACATTTATTTGCGGATTCAGATAGGCTCTTCCAAACAAAGGAATTTGATATAACATACTTCAGGGTTCTATTTTCAAGTTGTTGAGATATCGGAAAAACATTCAAATCTGACAACTCGCACCTTCGCAACAGCGAGAGCAAGAAAACTGAATTTTTATTCAGAAAAATTCTATGATCCCATATTTTCTCCCTATCTACTTAGTTTTTCAATTTTTTTGTTAGTTTATACATGGTGACTTGATTCACTATATAAGGTGAGGTAGATTTAAATTACAGTGAAAACATACACATTTTAGCGACCGGTTTTTAGTTTAAAAGGTATTGTAAAATTTTTTACCTTAATACTCGATTAACAAAGAGGTTAACTGTAACTCAAAAACCATTCCAACAAACTCCAGTGAACCTTATATAAAAAAAGGAATCAAAAGTGTGAAAATATACAGGGTGTCCCGCTCGAAAATTCAGAGAAATCGTTCATCTTGCATTTTTGGTCACCTTGTATAGTCCATCGAAAAAACTGAAACAGTATGTAGCTAACATTTGGGATCGTGAAATTCTTCTGGCGAAAAAACCAGTAGTCTAGCTATAATAGTTGCTAGATGTCAAAGCGGTGCTTTTGACATTAGACTGTCCAATATCACAATAATTTAGAAATAAGACACCACATTATGCAACTCGTACATCCAATTGCTTTTTTATAGAGCATATCCTAATCTGCAATAAAATGTAGGTCATTCCATTTATAAAATGTTTGTTTGCGTGACTACGTAGTTGTGTGTAGCCCTGTAGAAATAAAAATGTTTCCCAAGTAAGAAGCATCCTTGGCCATTTCCTCAAAAAGTTGTCACTACAATATCTGCAGTGACATACACTAGGGCTCCTGTGAAGTTGGGGTTCAAGTTAATAAGTACGTAAAATTACGCTAACGAAAGGGAACTTCAAGAATCAATTAGGAAGTTTCCTATAGACGAAAATACGGCCTGTGTTACTTGCATCTGATAAAATAACCAGTATCTTTGACAAATCTGAAAGAATTATTCCAATAACTTTAAATTTAAGGTTAAGTTATGGCATTTTCTGTCTTGACTACAGTAGCCGATCGGCCTCGCGCGTCGAGGTTCGGTAGTGACGTCACATGACGGAACGTCGCACGTCCTAGTGAAGCGGTCGGACGACACGACGGCATATCGCATACATCCTTAGCGCTCAAGCTGACAAGACGTAATTTATTGTTTGAATCTTGGCGTAGACTTTTGTATGGTAGTATATAATAATTAAAATTGAAAAAGGTGTTTTACGTGCCGGTTCCACAAATCTTTTAAAGGTGGACATAATAATGGTAATGAATTTCTACACAAACATTTATTCTATACAACTCTGATAACGTGAACTCATTTTTTCAACCCTTTGCCTGCGACTATACCATACTGTCCACTTATAAAAGTGTTTTGAGTCATCAACTTTACGTAGGATACTTTGTTGTCAGTGGCGGGGTATTATGGATGATCTTATTTGGCTTTATTAATTTTATAAATAGAAGAAAATGAAAAAATGCTTTGCATGCATCAAATAATTTAGGACGACCCAAACGCCAGCGAATACGTTTGATAAATTAATAATAAATTCAATATCACGCAGTGACCAGAAAATCAACTGTTTGAACTGAAATTTAATCCAACGCCAATAGGACTTGACGGCCGTCCGGTGTTTGTTTGTTTATTTCTGATTCATTTAGCATTAATGCTGCAATATCCATAATATCCATATTACACAGTATATCACAAAATATATTATGTCTTCAAGACTACATATTTTTATACAAAATTTCACTACTATGAATTCTGGTTTTCCATGACATATTTTTTCAATTTCCCTTTGAACATTTTCAAACTGACATACATCTTCGTCACAGCATTTTAATAATTTTTTTTTGTCGTAACACTTCAGGATGTCCATTTATTAATCAGGAGTAGAATCAATGATTCGTCATTCATTTTTGGGTACTGTTATTTGGCTATTGTCATTATCGGTCTGGAAGAGACACCTATGGAGACGAGGCGATTGGTTATGTGCAGATAAAAAGAGAACGGGATATCTGAATTGTAAAAGCCAGGATTACGCCCGAAGATAGAGTTAAAAGCAAACAGTATCATTGCAATTTTGAATGGAACGAAAAGGAAGAACCAGTAATCAAGCTAAAATGCAGTGGTTGTGCTTCACAAGAGGGTGGCTGTAAGGATGGTGTAGCGCTATTAATGTGGCTGCACGGAAGAAGCGAAGAATCACCATGCACTTCCGTGAAGTGCTACTGGACAAATGCCAGATTATCTACTATTGGCAGTAATCTAAAATTCATAGAAGCCTCTCAGATGATTATACATTATGCCCACACTTGACCGACGCCTATGCATCACCGCGTCGGCGCAAACAAGGTTTCAACAGTGTTTCCCCTACAGCCACAAGATGATCACTAAACTCTCACATTACTGGAAATGAAAGCAATAATAAAATCTATTTCTGTTTAGCCTTAAACCATTTAGATTATTTACCTTATCATGCAATTCATACAGACTAAGACTAATAATAATTAGCTAAATAGCTGCTTACATCAAAATGGGATTCACAGCAAAACAACGTTATTTTTCCGACAGCGGCAATTGATCGTCCCTATTCATTACCTTGCACCTCACTTCTTTCTAATACTTCCCTGTTTTGGTACACAGAAAAAATGTTTATCTGGAGCTGATATGCTAGTATTTGTACACCTAGGTATAATAAAGTATTTGTAGGTTGAAGATTTGACCCACTTTTTACTCATTGTTAATAATAGGGGGAAGCGTGTGTGGCGCGGCGCGGCGGGCGCATGTCCTTGCAGTGGTACTGGGCTGATAAGATTCCGTGATGTGACGTCATCGCTCACTCGCCCGGCCACCACACGATTCTTCAAATAATAAACTTCTGACTAGCGTAACTTGTTATTTTTCAATATATTAAAAAAAAATTTTCAGCGCTGTACTACATTTTACTTAGACTACCATTTTGAGTGTCTTTTGAAAAATAGAAAACTTCCTCATTGTGTGAAACCTTGTTTCTTAATTCCTATCATACACTTTGTCAAGTGCCTAAAAAGTACTAGATACGATGAAAATAATCAATTCAGACAATAACTTAATACCAAATTATTTCACTTTCAGCCATCACGTAACACTTCACAATGTGTTCACAACTGCGACGCCCCAGGTGTGCCAGATGACCAAATCTCACCAAGTCCAACTATAAGCAGTCCTACTCCAATGGTACCTGAAGAAGAAGATGGTTTTGCTGCTGATAGGCAGTTCTGGTTGATAACCGTACTTAAAACTGATGGCAGAGATCCCGCCATCCTTGATCTCAAAACTAGTTTAGAGAAGCTATACAGAAAGGCATTCGAACGGTAATTAAAGCTATACCAGTATTAGTGTGGAATATTGGAAAAATACTGGAAGCACCAGCTCAAAACTGACATCTGTCCCGGATTGATCGCCCTCATCTTTACCAGTAGAACCCAGCGGCCCAATATCCCAGTTCTATAAAATTTTTACTACCCTTCAGACAATATAGACTTGGTAATGAAGCGGATTTTTGATTAAAAGTGATAAATGTTCTTGTGCCATTTTCGATCCTTGTACAAAAATAGCCACCCTTACCGAACACTGAACATTCCAATTTCTTTGAGGACATGATCCAGATTAAAAGATAGTAGAGCATTTTGGTCAATCTCTGGAGTCGAATACGATAAAAAATTTAGAAGCATGCCACCAGTCTCTAAACCCTTTTATTTTGCAGCGTCATCCAGTTCTGTACTATTCAAGACAAAATTAAATAAAACGGAAAAAACGAAATCAGTGTTAATTAATCACTATAAAATAAAAATAAGCAAAGCTTTAATTAGTGGTATTGTACCATCCACTAAAAACACTGAACAATTGTTCACAAAAATTCATATTGATCGGACTAAAATTATCCTTGCTACAACATATTTTCCTCCTGGTAGCTCTCGAGACAAATATGTGGAATTTTCGGAGGATCTAGAAAATGTAACTGAGTTATATCCTGACTATAGGCTATGTATTCTTGGTGATTTTAATCTTCCACATTGTCAATACAGGTCCTTTCTTGGTTGTGTTCATATCATAACCTTTTCCAAATGAATTTTATTAGTAAATGAAAACAACTAGATCTGATTTTTATTCAAGACAGTAGTAGTAATAGTAGTAGAAAAAGAAATATTTATACATCATAGATGGCTATATAAACAACTAGCAATACATAAAGATACTAATAAATTTAAACACTGTCAAATATGCCACAAATGAAAATATCTTTAAAAGGCTGCTAAAAGAGTTTTTGTCAGACCTGCGGCCATACAGTATTTAATATAGGTAGGTGTATGAAAGCCGATTGTATTTGTCAAAATTTCTTTTTATGTTTGTTTTTACAGTGTGTATTTATAAATGTATGAATGATTTAAATAAATAAATCATCTCAACTAAGTTTTGTAGGATAGTAAGCGCTTAAAAATCAAGTTTAAATTATACTAAAAAATTATACAAGAACAAATCTAACAAAAAATGTATTAAAAGTTATCAGAAGCATTTTTACATTTGTAATGCAGAAAACATGCTTCCCATATAACTGACTCTCTGTCGTACTGAAAGATCCTAAAGTACAAAAATCTTGCATAAAGGTATACAATTACTCCACATCTTTTCATAAAGAATGTATTAGTTTAAGGTTCAGTAGTTACTCTTGGTTGCAGGCAACATGAACGTCACCTAGGCATAGGTTACCGCCTTAAGCGTTACTCCAAGGAACAACCAGTCAATGTATACATACACAAGGTGGATAAGTCGGCTCTAGATGGTGAACAAAAAGTTGAGGTACTCTACCACGTATCTGTTAGCGGTAAACCAGTACCAGCTATCACAGCAGCAAACGATATGAACTTTGTTACTGATGAGGAGGTGCAAGAAGTGTTGGGATACCCATTCCTAGTCAAAGCTGAACGTAAGTTCCCACCTCTGTTCTTGAATTGTTATAAGTGAGAATATGGTGTCAGGTATAGTGATTTTGTACTTCGCACGCAATTCTGTCATCAGTTAGATTATGTTCAGCTTATTTCTAGATATTACGCCTTATGAACTGTCATACAAAAGAAATCAATCGAAGAAATTGTATATGACATTCAGAATCGACCTACTCATCACAAGGTTTATACAAGACTATAATGAGATCGAAACCTGACTATTGTTGCACAATAAAGTCGTTATTATTATTGCATCGTAAAACTTTACAGTTTGACATCTCAAACTACAATAAATAACCCTATCACATTTATTTTTCAATGGTAAATGTATGGCAATATGTGTGTGAATATTATAACAGATGCGTAGTATTACTGAGATCAGACGCTTCTATCAATAGAACGTATTATGCTTATACTACACCAAGGATGCATCCGTCGATATTATTACTACTTAAGATACAACAAATCAAAATCAATGTGCCAAGTATTCCTCACGCCGCGCCACATAGCACACGACGTGAAAGGAATAAAAAGAGGTGTTTTTCAAAATGTATTGTTAAATTACTATCAGACGTTCGATTTTACAAAGATTATTTTGTACTACGTTTCTGAGATGTCCAGTTTTTATTTCTTCGATGAATTTCTTGAAAATGACCAGAAGCTATGAGTCCAAAAAATGAAATTTTGAGAAGATCTTGTTGTTTTGGTTTTTGGACCGACTAAAACGAGTTACATGACTTTGTGAGAAACAATTATCTCAATTTACGGGAGTCATAGGCATCGAGTGCCAATATTTAAAATATGCTAACCTGATCTTTTTTTATTCCTTCAGCTTATTTGAAACCAGCCGAACCACAGGGTCTCTCAAGCGCCAAAAATACCTGGATGTTCATAGGCATCTCAATTTTGGCTTTCCTGATCATGCTGCTGATTATAGCTTTCGTTACTTTGGGCTGTACGAAACGCAAACGAGTAGCATCCCCTGCCGGTATGGCGACTCAAAACAAGCAACAAGCTTTTGCTAAAGAAGCTGGGGTAGAAAACAAGGCCTTTGTAAGCGAACCAGGTAATTTATTTGTAAAATAGCTTCGTTCAGCAAACAGGGACATCTTTCAGGCGTCAGTGGACACACGGGGGCAACGAAAAGTCTGCGGCTGAAACGACTCTAGCCTAGAGCTAAATCGGTGACCCTACTTTGACGATGAAGACTACTGAACAGTGGCGTAGGGCACAAACACTTTTTTAAGTTCATTTGTATTAGGATCATTCGGAGCTCTTCATTAAACTGGAGCCCTAGCCATGTGACTCTTGTGCCTGCGTATGCAGGGTGTCCACAAAACTGAATGATAGTCTTGTAGCAGCAAGTAGGTCCTCTGTGATCTCCTATATGGCAAAGTATACAGCAAAAATAATATGCGCAAATAATGAAAACTAAAGCACATGTACAAATTTCATATACAGTGCTTTTTTGTGGGAGTGAAGAACAAATTGATTGGAATTCAACCAATGTTGAAGCGTACGGCAACAAAAATGATATCTACAGATCAATAATGTCCACTTAACTTTTGTTCCACTCCAAAATAACTTTTAAATTAATTATGGAACAATATTTTTAGGTAAAGCAGAGTCTCCAACATATATCAGATTCAAAAACGAAAATTCTACTTTGACGAAAAGTGCCGGTGAAAGTAGGGCGCATAGTTCCGTTAGCTCTACGTCCTCTAGGTAAGCTCACCTCTCATCTTTTCACATATCATGAGACAAACCATAAAGTATGACAAATAAATATGCCGCATTTTTAACCCCCACTCAAATATAGAGGTCTTAAAAGTTTGATTAATAGAATGATCAAATATTTTTTTGATTTGATCAGCATTTGAAAAGAGGGATGCGGTTATGTTTTAATGTGGAGTTTAGTTATCTTACTTGTCATTTACAGTGCTGCACTAGTATACAGGGTGATTCAGAATGTGGTGACAGTCTCTGGGGTAGAAACATGGTCTAAAAATAACACGATAAGTTTTTGAGCATGGGACCTAAAATGTTCCCTCACCGAGGTACAGCCTGTTGAAGTTTTTTATTGACTTGAAATTTTGTATACGTAGTACTTACAGTATAGCCAATACATATTAAAAAAATGTGTAACTAGACCACATTGGGAAATTTTCACTCCTCCAAAAGAAAAAAAATTGCTGTCTACGCCACTTTTTTGAGACATTCACTGTAGTTTTGAATACGATATTCAATTTTACATGAATCGCCTTCTTGAGAGTTAAAGTCAATGAAAATTGAAGGTAGTTATTTGAAAATTATCCAAGTTTTTGTTTTTATTTAGTCTCACCAGTGGCGTCGACGTTTATAACACCCTGTCTTTGTAACGGTGCATCTTGGGACCTATGTTTATATGGACCTTTTTCCTTATTTTCGGATGCACTTCTTACTCTGGAAGTCTTGTCACGTCTTCCTGAATCACCTTATAGACTACTGGTTGCAACAAATTTTGGTGTCGGAATATAGTGAATCTGATATAGTATTACACACTTACAAGGAGTTCCCTCTGATTTTCATTTGTGGCATTCACTAAAATATTTTTCGTAATGGAAGTATGAATAAATGTAGTTCGACATATCACTTGTGGGTAATTCAAACGATAATTATTTTTTGTTAGTTCTACTAGCTTGGACATTTCGCCATTGATGCACTTGAAGAAGAAGATACCATTCAAGAAATCTTATAGACCAAAAGCTGCCATCAATAAAACCGTACCAGCGACGCTGAGTATTGGTTCGCGCCCTGCAGAGATATTCGACTCTGACAGCAGCTCCAGCAGAAGGGATTCCCCAGATACCATTTTCCTTGCGGGAAACTATGATCCTGGAGTAGTTAGCCCGAAATCGTACTTGTCAATGCCATCTATCAAGTCTTTTCCAAAGTAAGTCGGATACCCAACAAACTTTACAACACTTCACAGTTAGCTCGGGTAGTATGTATATTCGCATCTGATGGGAAAATATAATAATCTCATTCAAAAAGAACCTCTTTTAACGAATCTACATGTTGTGAGGCCCTTTGCCTGATACATTTTTTTAATTGATATTTTGAACCAATTCCATAAATAATGTTGATGCTTTTCGAGCCATACTTTATTTGAAACAGTACATAATATGCCATTCTCGACCCCGAAAAGTGATACAAAGTGAACGAAAATTTTAATTTGATTAAATTTCCTAAATAGCCTTTATCTTTATAGTTATTTATTAATTCGCTGAACCCAAGCGAAGAATTGTGCCAACAGAAAGGCAGATATGTTGCAGAATCCTCCCGAACTATGACATATCTACCCTGTAATCTAATTTTTTGCGAAGCTTTACCCTAGATATGTACTCACTTCCGACCATTCAACCTGGCGGGCAATTCATATGGTCCAATTAAATTTTTGTTGAGTACTCCAGCCCATAAATTAATGCCGAACTGACGTTGAAACCTGTGTGGGCGAATAGCGTGTGGATTTTCCACGCTCCACGAATGGAAGTTGTGCATGTTGAATATTACATTTCGGTTAAAGTTGGATTCATCTGTCCATAAGATGCTGTCGAAAAAAGTTTCATCCTCTTCGCATCTTCTCAACATATTCTCACAAAATTCAACCCGTTGTGCATAGTCGCTTGGAAGCACTTCTTGTACTTTTTGTACAGGATGCATGTTTTCCGAGCATAGTATTGTGTGCACTGAAGTATGAAGATACTATATGTTTCTGCTTCGGGCAATGGCTCTGGTGCTTATAGAGGGATCTCTCTCGGCTGCTTCTATCTTCTATTTCTTCTGGGCATATCCTCGGCGCTCCTAGATGACGATGAGTGTGCGGCCCTCCATATATAGTCAACGCCAAACAAAGTGGCGTGCACGTCATCAAGGTGGGTGTGTTGAAAAATTTACATTGTTGCCAAACTTTTTGTAAAATAATAAAATTTATTATTTACATATCTAGGTTTATAAGCAATATTAACCTCAAATGAGAACAAAAATAATAGTATAATAAAATTATAGATCTGTACTTGCATAATCATTAAGTATGACAATTATTGATCAGATGACACTATGAAACTACCATATTTAATTGATAGCTTAAAGGTACTGAATAAAAATCCAAATGGGGTCCTCCAAATTTTATGCATGGTATTTATTTTACAGAATTCATACAGAAAAATGCATTCTAAAATTAGGTAAGCTACTGGTGTAAGCTTTTTCTGTACAATAAAGTTAGTCGGAGTTTCTTTCTTCAGCGCTGTCTGAATCTGAATCTTCATCACTCTCAAAGTTGATTATTAAAGGTTCGATGTCTGGTCGATCAAAAATTCGTTCTCTTTCATACCATTTAAAAATTTCTTGCTCAGTATGTCGAACACTATTTTTCCACATGTCTGGGGTAACCGTTTGTAGAGCCTCGTTCCACATATCCAAACAGTCTTTTTCACTGTTACCATCTCTACCAATATGTCTGTTATAGTAACCTTTTGCTATGCCCCAAATTAACTCAATAGGGTTAAATATACAATGGTAAGGAGGCAGACGAAGAACTTTGTGCCTATGTTGTTCCGCCAATTCATCAATCACGTATATTTTAGGTGGTTTGTTTCTAAAAAAGCAGTTATTTTAAGAATAGGAATAAACAAAAGAAATATAAACTGTCGACCAAAATATATATAATTAAGAAGCATTATGTACCGAGCAACAATACTCAATAGCTCTGTTTTAAACATTGTGTTTAAAAATGGTATGTTTTGATTTGTCAACCAGTCTTGGATATTTTTTTTTGTCCATGCATTGTTGGGCACTTTGTTCAATCAATATCATGCTGTGATAAGGGGCGTTATCCAGTATAATCATAGATGGACTCTCCAATTTTTCTAATAACTGATGTTGAAACCATTTCAAAAAATTGTCCTGCTTCATCTCTCCATGGTAATCGCTCAATTTTGTTTTCGAAGAAAATATCGCTTCACTACCCTCAATAAACCCATTTTCATTTCCAGCATGTAATATAATGTATCTAAAATATATTAGTTTTAAATTTTATAGTGCAAATTGTGTAAAAATACATACCTTTTACCATCTGTTTTAATAGCTTTCACGCTTTTTTGGTTTCCATTTTGCCAAGAGCGACCTATGGTCCCATTTTGAAATATCCAAGTTTCATCGAGGAAGACAAACTGGTATAAGGCCTCAACCTTGGCTTGATTGTATTGCCTTAGAAATTCCACCCTTTTCAAAGCTATACTTGGTAGTTCCATGAGCCCTCGTCGCGGATTGACCTTAAGCCACTTAAATCCAAGATCTCTAAGCAACCGCCTTAAAGACGTGGCACTACCATCAAATAATGCCCTATCTCTTAATCGAGACCATAAAGTTTGTATGGTAACTTGTTCTTCTGAAACCATGTGTAATATGACATTATAATTTAGTTAACAAATTAATGCAAATTTCTGATAAGTTATTATAATAAGATCTCACTTTTGTGATACATATTATAGATCACTTCTCGAATGGCACTTGTATCCAATGTCGCTGTGTTGGTTACACGTTTAATATAACTCCGCTTTTTCTTGGGCGATTCTAAATTTGCATCACTTTTCACACCCTCGGAAATACGACTAACTGTCCTTAAACTAATTTTTAAAGCAGCAGCAACACGCTACAAAAAATGAAATAAAATTTCACTATTATTAATATACATTACATATAATTATTAGTAACCTACCTCTTGAACAGCATTTAAAGGCAACAAAGGCCCGTTGTTGTCCCTTTCTTGCTCAAAGTAGTGCATTAACGAGGCCACGAGTTCCTTACACCGACTATTTAACTGTTTGGGCATCTTTATATACCAAAATTGCCTTTATCTACTCGTAAAATGAATAATTTTGTTTTGAAACAAACAGTTGTTGATTTACAGTATGCGGGGCCAAAGGATTTATAAAGATTTGAAATGCCACAAATTGATTCAGTGTCAAAATTAATACAAATGTCAGTTCCCAGTTTAAATAAGTTTCAAGGTGACAATGTGTCAACGCTGCGAAATCGCTTTAGTGCGTTTACATGTCGATAAGTGATTGGAGCGTTTGCAAAACATTTTATTTCGCATAATGCGTCTAAATTTATCAGAAAGCAACTTATGTGATATTTTAATAACAATGTTTATATGACTATTAACCATAATAAGAGAGTAATGACCATTTTACAATTTATATATCACATTAATATGAAACTGCAATAGAGCAATTGTTTGTGATAGAAACCTAGGCATTAGGTCGGGGAATTTTATCGTGATGACGTGCACGCCACTTTGTTTGGCGTTGACTATATGCATTATATATATATATATATTATATGTATATTATATATATATTACATATATATACAGGGTGACTTTGAAGTTGAGTCATTAATTTTCAGATAATGATTGTAGAAGGGAGATAAACCAAAATATGTGTGTAAAAATAAAAAAAAAATTAAAAAAAAAATGTTACCTTGTTTTATAAAGTATCCTCCCGACAAGTATTTCAGTGCGGACCTGTATTTGATCGTGCGGTCTTGGAGCAGCATGCCCTCACCTGTGAGGTCTTAAGTCACCTGATTCACGAGCCCTTTGTACTACATTAACAAAGGCACGAGGGGTTGGTTGCACTCGATTGGGAAACCGATTCGCACAAATCTGTGATGCCGCGGCAGCATTTTGTAAAGACTCCCATCATGTCCACAAGTTCAGCATTTTCGTAAACATGTGCCATTTTTTATTTCGTTTGAGCCACGCAACAAACACTACTATTCACTCACACCTTATCGACTGACGAAAAACATCATGATAAACGTTTCAAATCTTTCGCTTTTTTGTTTCCGATGCGATGAACCGAGGCGGATTACATCCGTTGTTGCCAAACACCAGCACATAATATTATTGAGACAGGGCGGTACTCAAACTTCTAAAGGACTATAACTTTGTTACTTTAATTTTACCAGAAAAATGGTAAAGGAAAAAAACATTTCTTTTGATCAGATCTACTCACTGTTAAAATAAATGACTCAACTTCGAAGTCACCCTGTATATGTATATGCCTTCAGACTTTGCCGCATTTCGATCGCCATCGCTCTCTATTCCGCCAGTCTTTCTCCTCCAAAGCTCTATCTGTCATCATCTTCCGAATACCATCTTACCATGAGACTGTCGGCCTTCCCCGTTTTCTTATATCTTGTGGTATTGTACTTTATTGCTATTTCAGGTCATCGTTCTTCACCCATTCTCCTAACATTTCCATACCACAATAACTGCCTCGTTTCTATTGTGCATTTACTGGAATATACCTTTTTTGTCTTAGGTCGTATCTCTTCATTCCTGATGTGTTCCATCCTGGATATCCGACATGCTCTTCTCAGAAAATCCATTTCTGGCACCTCATTATTCTTCAAGCTGTGAAAGCTGCCAACATTCCGACCCGTATGTCAAAATAGGCTCTACGAGTGTTCGATAGATTGTCATTTTTGTTTTTAGTTGAATATCCTTAGACCATTGTAAGGAGTTTTAAATGCGAGTTCATTTTTTTTCTTGCCGAATTTTATTTTCTGCGTCTCTTCTAGTATTACCTTCTGACAATATGCTACCGAAGTATTTGTATTCTTTACATCTCTTCATACGACTGATTTCTAATTCAGGATCCACTGCTCCGACCCCACTTCTTATACTCTTGAATTCAAAATATAAAAATCATAAAATTTCATTCTTGCTGTTAAGAATATAAGATTTAATTGTGTTCGTAAATGAGGCATGTTGTTACATTCCTTAACTATCTTTTAGCTGAGGTTCGTTTCATATATAGTGGTGTTATGGGCAGGAGGACTGCTGAGGACTTTGGATCCAATATTATTATTGTGAACTTTTGATCGAACTGCTATGTTATATATAGGTGAAAGATGCGAGAACTTTGGCAGTACAAGACTTCCAAATAAAGTTTTTTTAGTGTCATAATTTAAATACTTGCGATGGGGCTACTGGATCCTGAATCAGGAACTGGCATTTTTTATATTCATAAGGACCTGTTTCCGGAAACGCAATTTTGAATCGAGTATTACCTCAAGGATATTTCCTCCTTCTAATGGTTCAATTGGAACGTTGCCAATTGTGCCGCTGAAACCATTTTTGATTGTTTCTCAAACTCGATTAGTTTCAAATACAAGAAGAGTGGACTTTTTCGGATTTCATAATAAAGAATGTTGTTATATAATATACATAAAATATTATACAAGACAGAGTCATATTTTGCTCTGCACAATGTAAATCATCAATTTTAAATTTGTAGGATAATTGAGTATCGTCAGCGTACATATGCATTTCATGCATGCACCTAATGGTGTAAATATGAAGTGTAGATGGTAAATAAGAATGGCCCAATTATAGATCCCTGGGCACCATCGACGATATAATTTTGCTAGATGATGGTTTGCCCAAAAATTCTACTTGTTGACTACAATTTTGAAGATATGGGTTCACTAGCGCTGCTGACCATTAGCAGCATTAGGACCGCAATGTTTTTGATATATCAATTAAAATCATGTAATCTATTGTATCGAATACTTTGTTGGAGTCAAGCAGCGCTAGTGTCATCATACCCCCCCCCCTGATCATCAATAGCTCCTTAAATCTCATCAACAATATGTAGGAGTGCTGTCGTGCCAAAAATTGTGGGAAGTGATTAAAAAACGTTTTATAACTTGTATAATCGAAGATTCTCTATTTCAGAGGTAACATGCCTGAGCCCCTGAATAGAGTATTGGAACCAGTCAGCGTTCTCCACTTAGACATACCTGAAGGAGAGGCAGCATATGGAGACAAAACATACAGATCTGAAGTGAGATTGGTCAGGCATGGAAGTGCTGGGGCCGTAGAGGATCCTGGAGTGATAGGACCAATAGTATGGAATATGCACTGTCAAAGGCTCCAACACGGTAAATATCAGAGTGTTACTGTAAGCGTTAGTTAAGCTTATAAAATACGGATCGTTGAAGCTATGATGCACGTTTACAAGGTTTTATTAGGTGACATGTAAACGAATTATGTTACAGCATGTATATAATTGAATAAAACAAGACACAGTTCTTCAAGCCTAACGTTTTATACAACGTATACCTTTTCGGAAAGGTTCGTCAATCTACACATTTTTTGAACGGCTCATGTTAGCAAGTAGTTTAATCATAGACGAAAATACCCCTGGTTTGCGAAATAATTGTAAAGTCTGGCTTTATTGCTGCAAGTTGTTCAAATGGGTATTCAAGACATGGACGCATAAAATGGGTATACAAATTTTTGTGGGAAAACTTTTCATTCGACGACAAAGAATGAGAAAATGTGTTTTTTGGGATTGAATTGAAAGTGTTGGCAGGAACGAAAAAAAATTTTTAGGTATTTATGAGACCTACAAAATGAGACTATACGTAAAAAGATCCGACTAATAGCAAAAAAGGTATGGCCGAAAACCGAGGCAAACTGCAAGTTTTGGCACTTGCTGGTAATGCGACGATGGTTTTTCGCAGATATTTGAAATTCTTCAAATTTGTTGGATTCGTACTTCTAAGTAACCAGAACAAAATTGGAGTAGATTGGTCAAGTAGTTTTTGAGAATTTCTAATTGTTTATCCCAAAGCACCTGTTCTCCGGCCATCACTACTAGTTTATTGAGCAATATACAGGGTTAATTCAAAGGGCATTTCATAGCAAAATACCTTGCCGATATGAATCGCAAACCATTCCAGAAGATAAATGTTATTTTTATGCAAAAATGTATGGGTTACGTTTTTTATTCTAAACAAATTCAAATATATCGTATTGATAATTATGTAATAATGTTTTAAACTGTATCTATATACGTTACTATTAACGTATGTTTTTCGAATGTCGAAGCGCATTTGTTCAATTACTCATAAATACGAAATGTTTGAATTTGTTTAGAAGAAAGAAACGTAACCTTTGTTTTTCGCTTAAAAATAACTTTTATCTTTCGGATGGTTTGTGATTCATATTGGCAAGGGAAACACGTACTTTTGCTATTAAACGCTCTTTGAAGGAACCCTGTATATTGCTCAATAAACTAGTAGTGATGGCCGCAAAACAGGTGTTTTGGGATAAACAATTATAAATTCTCAAAAAACTAGTTGACCAATAGAGTCAGAACTTCAAGTAGTTGCGTGAATTTATCGTCGCATCAGCAACAAGTGCCAAAACCTGCATTTTTCCTCGTTTTTCGTCCTCATAAATACAAAGTTTTTTCGTTCCTGTCAACACTTTCGATTGAAGCACGTTTTCTCATTCTTTGTTGTCAAATAAAAAGTTTTCCCACAAAAAATGGTGTACCCATTTTATGCGTTGAACAACTTGCACCAATAAAACCGGACTACAATTATTTCGGGGAAATTTGTTAATATGATTAGACTAAAGCTGAAATCGTGTCGATTAAACTGTTGTGTGAATACTGTGTTTTAACGTAAACACACAGGTGATAGCTGCAAGATGCCGCCTGGGCCCATTTTGAACACCTTTTTTAATTGGAATAGCAAGTCATGGTGACCTCGTGTCGAAGCTGCTTCTGAATACTTTATACAATAATTTCAGCGGTGGCCGCAGTAGTAGACTCTTCGGTCTCCTGATCAGTCGCCGTGCGCTGTGCGGGTTCGAGTCCCGTCCCAGGAGAAATTTTTCTCTTGGCTATGGATGTTGTGATTGTCCGTAGGTGGTAGATGGTCTCTGACTGTCGAACGCGGAGGTACCACCCGGCGGTTCTCGTAGGCGGAGCCAGAATGTGTGCATGTTGCATGCACACGTGTTCCCTCGCCAGAGTCCGTGTGGCGTCCCCCCTTTCCCATATATCACCCATAGCCCCACGGTACCCAATGGGTGCTTAGGTCTTAGGCCTTCGTGGTAGTTAGAATATAAAAAAAAAATTTCACCGAAATGAAGTACTGGTGGGCTGTCAAAGTTAAGCGCTTTAATACAATGAATCGCTTTATACGTAATTGAACAACTAATCATCAAAACGCCATAGTAAGAAAGAGTCTATCTAAATGTGCAATAAAGTATGGGAGATTCTTTTGAAAAATATTGGCAGCTTTTAACAACTCTTTAAAATGTAAAAATTCATATTTTATTGCATTCAGACAGACCCTTCAAAAATTAATACAGCCTACTTATAGTGATTTGATGATTAGTTCATGAATTTTAAGAAGCCCTCAACTTTGACAAATCATCACCCCACCATTTTGGAAGATAGTAAATTCATATCATAGCGTTACAAAATGCTCATAAAGAAAATGACGTATCACATGGCCATCCATTTAGTTTATATTCTCCTAAGATGGTGATCTTCAAATTTTTAGCTATTAGCTTTACCATAAAATATATTTTTATGCATCAATTTCATCACCCTGAATTTTATCTTGTTAGCATGATCCGTTCAAAAAGGCACTAGGGTTAAAAAGCACCTAAAAAGACTATAAATATACTTCTTTTGTATAATTTTGTATAGTTTTTACTGGCCAAAAACCCGTTTATTGACATTATCGTGGTGCAACACCCAGTTGTTTTTGATCTGATGAACGGTGGTGTAATTCAGATCTAACTAACTAACATTCTGACTGTCCACCGATAATCTGGACGCACAAGGTCCAGGATTCTGTCAATAATCTCATCGGTTCTTGAAGATGAAGGCCTTCCACCGTAAAACCTGGGCTCTTGACAAAACACTATCTTCGTAGGTCTGTTTAGCAAGAGTTTCCGTTGCACTATGCCCAAGGCTGTAGCAAAACTTGATAGGATAACGTTGCTTGAAATTGATGTCACTCGTTTTTAGAACACAATAGACAAAACTGTTTCACAAAAAAAGTGGCTACGGATAACCAAAATACTCGAACGAGTTCAAACTTGTACTGAAGCTGGATCACATGTTCTCCCATTCAAGCACCAGTGTTGCCAAATCGGACGCTACGTTGCTAGTCTGATCACTTTAGGGACCTCGAATACTGAACCCTTCATGCAGCATTAAAACTGATTGAATTAGTTTTTATATCTAAGTTAGCAGATAAAGCAAAACTGGAGATGCACTTGTTATTTTGACGATGATAAAACATTGCTGTTTCCGAACTATATACCTTCTTGTAGGAGTAAGTGTAGATGAAGGTATAAGCGATTTGAAAGAAGCTAACATCTCCAGAATGAGGAAACGTTTCTACGATCTACTGGATGATACATTCAGCCTCTTCGGAAGCAGGAAAAATAGCCCAGTTGATAAACATGGTGCTGATATTCGATCCCGTCAAGTTCCCACTGAAGTGAAGAGCCACTCTGCCGCTAATTCCAGGTAACGATTCTATGTCTCATCACTGTCTTATCATTTGAACCTTCATATCCAAGAATCTGTTTGTAAGCTAATCAATTTGTGAATGTTGTTGTTTTCTGTTTTGTGGTATTCCTAACATAACAAGGTTTTGTAGTTCAATTAGTTTTTACATATTCAGGTCTGGAGATGATTTGAAAGCCCCTACGCCAAGACCAAGGCCAAAAACTACTGATCTCCGTAAGGCGGACCATCAACCAACACCTAAAGGAGCATGGAGTAGTAAAGCACCTTCTCCTCTTATCAGGCCACTCAGTGCATGCGTTGATAACACTAGAAGGGTAAATGTATAATACTGATATACAGGGTGAGTTTTTAGTGCGGACTCGGCTGATAGATGTTACGTATTTTATATATATAAAAAAATTAAATAGAAAAATTGTAGCCAACAGTATTCCCTCGACTTGGAAAATATATTTTTTTCTACAGGGCGATTCACCCGGTAACTCAAATATAAATTTTTTTGAATAGAAAGCCCAGCATTTCAATGCAGAGTTAGATAGGCGCTTTCAAGTGAAGTAATTTGATATAACATACAATAGAGTTTTATTTTCAAATCGTTGAGGTATTCGACAATCTATCGAGAAAAAAGAACAGTTAACTTTGACAACTCGTATCTCCGTAACTGTTATAGATAGAGTACTGATTTTGAAATCATTGTATGATCTCATATTTCGTTCTTATCTACTGATTTTTTCAGTTTTCTTGATGCACTATACAGGGTTGTCAAGTAGCCAGAATGAACTATTTCTCAAAACTTTCAAATGCACCGCTATATACCTTCACACTTTGCGATTTTCCTTTTTATAAGGTTTTTTTCATATATGTATGAGGTTCATGGGTTTATATGTCTCCTTTTTGGCTTGACTTGAAGACTTCTATAAAATTGTAGCCAAGAGTATTCCCTCGATTTGGAAAATATTTTTATTTCTACCGGGCGATTCACCCGGTGACTGAAATATACATTTTTTTAATGGAAAGCCCTGCATTTCATTGCAGAGTTGGATAGGCGTTTTCAAGTGGAGTAATTTTATATGTCTGGGCTTGACTTTTCGACATCTCTAACGATCTGCCATTACCAGTTGAATGATAGTTTTTAGTTCATTCGCCTTGGTATCTGAGTCACAAACATCTTAGCTGCAACCGAAAAAACCGGTCGCACAAAACTTCAAAAGCCTTATATCAGAAAAGCTGATGAAAAGAGAAATCAAGGAATGTGATAATGCACATTCCTTGATTCGATTCCATTAAATTTTTTTTTAGAAATCGTTCCACCCTGTATAAGCTGTCCAAAAGGCTAAAAAAGTAAGTGGATAGGAAGAAAATGTGGCATCATGTTTTAACGAAAATTTTGATACTCTATAACAGTTGCGAAGGTGCGGATTGTCAAAGTACTGTGCTTTATTTGATAGATTGTCAAATGTCTCAACAATTGGAAACAGAACTCTATACATATATACGTATAGTACTATATGTTATATCAAACTAATTCCTTAGAAATGGTGTATCCAAGTCTGTAATAAATTGTTATAATTTCGATTTAAAGAATGCATATTTGGGTCACCGCACAGTTATTGATCACCCTGTAGAGATAGAAATAGGTATTTCCCAAGTGAGAAGCATACGAGTACTCTTGGCTGTAATTTTTGTAATATAATAATGGAGCTAACGACCGCGCACACACTAAAAACTCACCTTGTATAGTTTAAATTGCAGATTATTGCTAATAAAGAGATGTTTGATAAGATCGCAACACTTGAGTAGTTCATTGTTGATGTCTCAACTAAAAAATGGTTTTTGAGTGGTACAGTAATACCTACAATGTGTCATTGGAAAACGATATTCAGTTGAAGATTCAATGATGAGTTTTTATCGATCATACTTTATTTTGAATACACTGATTTATATTTCAGCCTGCAGTGAATGTGGAGCATATTATGGCCCAGGGCAGATTCAGGGCAGACGATCCAGCAGTAACTCTTATCAGGACTATTAAGTCAGAGATAGAAAGGGTGTCTCTACCGGGCAGCGCGACTGATTTAAGAAAATAATTGTTAAGGTTGAATAGCTATTAAGTATTTGTTTTTTAATTGACATTATTTCTGTTATGTTTTTATTCTGTTTCATTTGAACACTGTATGTGTTAAGCAGAGATGCTGTACCGAACTCCTTTTCGAGGTGCAGCAGATATATGCAATATCTATATACTCTATTCGTAGCCCATTTACGCCCAGACAAAACACAACATGCCCAATAGCGAGATTGTACAGGTCCGTATTTTCCTCAGTGGTCTTGGAATAATCTACCAAAATAAATGATTATTTTTATAGAAAGAAGTGCACATACTTTTCACAATTCTTTATTCACTGGAAGTAGTTGAATCGTCGTCCGAATGATTAATATTAATTATTACAGATTCAATTTGAATAACGACCATATTATCCATCTTTGTTTCGATTGTCTCTTGAATGTAATGGATGCAAAGGTTTTCACTCTGTCGACAGCTTCATAAAACAAATTTTTCACGTCAGAGAGTTTGAATGTTTTGTTGTTTGAAGCCACATAGTTTTTTATATTTGCCCAAATCATTTCAATGGGATTTAATTCGCAGTAATGAGTGGATAGCCTTAAAATGGCCTTATTTTGGTTTTTAGCCATTTCTCCAATAACATTAAGATTATATTTATATTTGTGCTGCCTGACTAGATGGATAAGTTCCGCTTTGACCATATTTTCTTTGAAGCTAATGTCTTTTGATAGGAGTCATTGTTGAATTTCTGCCTTTCTTGTGGACATTGTGGGAATTTTTTCTAGTTTCTTAGTGTGGTATGCAGTATTATCAAGTACAATGACGCATTGTCGTTTTGGGAGCGTTCCTTCAAACCAAAATGAACTCCCGTCCATTTTTTCATGGTAGTCGGTCTTTTTCTTTGACTCAAATGCCCATAGGGCAGTGGGTACAAAGCCATCTTCACTGCCATTGTAACAGATAACAAATCGTTTTCCTTTTCTTGGAAATAGTTATTTCATATAGTATTCGAGAAAACTAATAATAATACAAGCTGAGTATTGAACAGGAGTTGATTCCAAATCTAACAGATATAAGCTAAGTTTTTAGCGTGTGCTCATAGATTCAGTCTACTTGACACCATTTTTACAACACAAATGACGAATTGGCTAGATACACGTACCTGAAGGATTATTTAGGCCAGTGGTTAGACCATCTAAGAAGGCTTCTCCTGCTGATTTCATTGTAGAGTCAGCCCATACTTTAGGTTTTGTATGTCCTGCATTTATCCAGGTTTCATCCAAGTAATAAATCTTCCTGCCCCGGTCGAGGTATTTCTTTACTGATTCTAGATAACTTCTTCACCATAAAATAAGAGATTATCTTATGGAGCAGAGGTTATTCCAGCAAAATACTATTTCTGCCCCGTTTCCTATACTCAAAATGAAGTTCTTTGAGTAAAGTATAGAATGTGGTTCTTTTGAAAGTAGGTAAGTCTTCATCACTATTAACCTCCTGTAATATTTTGTCTATGGTGGGAGGTTCCTGCCTTTCAAAAAATTGATGGATTTTCCATCTGATGGCATTCCGATCGAAGTTATCAACTATATCAAACAGCTTCATGTAATGCAGCCTCTTGTGCTGGATACATTTTTTTGTTTTTTTATATTCTTTAACGATGTTGAAAATTGTCTTAGGGCTTAAGCCTGTTTTGTTCACCACACGTTCAATATCATGAATTTTCATTTCAGGATGCTCTGATATTTCGCTCTTATAAACGTTAAGGACAATGTCTTTTGCCTGAATATTAAAATGCCCCTTCTTGTCACGTTTTCGGGGAGGAGACATCACCAAAGAGGGAAGCATGGCTGAAGGAAGCATTGGTATAAATATTCTCAGTTTCAACTGCTGCATCCGTAGACGACATGCTAACATATAAATACAAGCTATGTATGCACCGAATATGAACAGCAACTGCTGGCGTCGGCGTGTCGGCGATACCTCGAACCTGAGTCCTATCCAGTCGAATCCTGCACTTTTTCGTAGTCGCTGCATCTTTGTTGTGCCTGGGCGTAAATGGACTACGAATAGGATATAGAGTCGTATTCGGAGCTAAATCGCGATTTGTACTTACAGAAATCTGTTACACCACTGATTAATATATTTCACCACTTGGTAAATTTCGAATATTCTCTCGAAGGACCGTAGTTGTTTGCTTAAATTGTACGCATGTGAAAAGCAGACTATTACAGCCATATTTGCCAATCGGCCAATCAGCGCGCTTCATCTATACATTAGCCTGCTGAAATTTGTTTTGACTGACTGCAGGTCGAAAGTGAATTTGGTATAATGGTAGGTGTTTTGTAAAGGCAATCTACTTTTCAGGAATTGTTTAATGTTAATTGGCTTGTCATGCATGGGTGATTGTCGACATGTAAACCACTATTAGTATAATTGGCTAACCTTATAAAAATTATTCATCACACCTAGGGAAAATGATTTAATTGACGTTATTTTTGATGAGGACCTTATTTGCCTCATGAACCTCCTTGGCCCTACTCCCGTGCATTTTTACAGTATGTTGCACTATCCTTTGTTATTTACTGTTTTTAACTTTATTATAAGTAATAAAGCTGCTCTTGCTTAATTCCACTGTTTAAAGAAAAAAGGCAAGCTAATTATTTACTAGTAACATGTAATATGCATTTTCTCATGCTTTGTTTCCAACAAGCTATGCTTTTTTCGACTGTTGTTTATTAAGGTTTACGTAATTTGTTATTTATGTGTGCCTGTCAACACCAGTGTATCTGTAATTGGATAAAAAATTGTCTCCAAAAAAGGCAAGCTAAATTATTTACTAGTAAACATTTAATATGCATTTCTCAGCTTTGTCTCCAACAAGCTATGCTTTTTGCCGCCTGTGTTTAATTAAGGTTTTTACATCTTTGTTATTTTATGTGCCTGTCAAACACAGTTTTGTACTGTAATTGGCTAAAAAATTGTTCCATGGTCGTGTAGTTTTTCTATGTTGTCCACATGTTGAAGTATATTCTACCCTAATAAAAAATAAACAACCAGACAATACAAGAGTGAATTTACGTATCTACCAGGGAAGGCGCAGTGGTGACCGTAGCAAACGACTGCGGCAATTGAAAAGCGGACGGTAAGATACGTCCAGGAGGGAAGCACGTCTCACGATTCAGATATAGCAAGGTAATTTTTACTCAAATATACAGCAATATATAGGGTGTTTCAGTTTATTGTTGCATAACCTTAAGATTCGATAGAACTTTTAAAATTAAGGCATAAAGTCTACATAAACATAGGTCAAAAAACGCGTGGCTTCCGAAATACAGGGTGTTTAAATTTACTTTCTAAAATAGTCTTTTTTAAATATTTCGAACAATATTTGATGTATAACAATGAAAATTGGTATACGAAGGTTTTTTTGGTACGACAAAACGAACCATGGGCATAGTTTTACTGTAGCCGCTAGAGGACGCTCTCTACTGTACCTGTAGTGTATTAAAATGACCGAAAAATTTTTCTTAGTGCAATTTTTTGCTTTTTGAATAAAAAAACTTTTCGCACTTTTCAACAAAAAAAGCTCTCTTGTGAATTTTCGTTATAATTAGCCGTTTTTGAGATATTTCGATTTTTAAAGTTCGATGCATTTTTAATTATTTATGATAAAATAATTTTTAGAAGTAGGCTGTGCCTGCAAATATTTTTGAAATTGAAAGCAGAATAAGGTTAAACGTCAATTAGTTGACAGTTAGTTTTGTTGTCTGTTGACACCTGAAACGTTTTTTTTCAATTGTGAATGCACGAAATTTAGTTTCTTTTACCTGTTTTGTTTTTGAAAGTTTTATAAAATTGCCATTTTTATTCTCCAATCAAGAGTTAGCGGATATTCATTTTGTGTATGGCTTTGTAAATGGAAACGCAGCAGAAGCAGTATTTGTAAGAGTGCATCGCCAAATAATTGAAAATGGTTTTGGAAATCTCTCCAAAGGGATCAAAACATAAATGTTCGTCAGTGCAGATTTACCCGTATGATTCTGCGTGAGTTTGATAGAGATCCGACCTTGGGAATTTCAGCAAGCCATGTTCACCGTGTTCTTAGAAATGACCATATATGTCCTTACCATTTGCAACCTGTGCAAGGACTACAGCCAGGGGACGGAGAACGAAGAATCATATTTTGTCAGTGGATTCTTGATAGAACTGATAATAATAGGGAGTTTTTAAGTAACGTTTTATGGACCGATGAGTCATGCTTCACTAGACGTGGAGTGGTAAATTTTCATAATCAACATATTTGGTCGCATGAAAGTCCGCGTGCAGTTCGGGAAAGAAATTTTCAGCATGAATTTAGTGTGAACGTGTGGATTGGCATCTACCGTAATCGACTATTTGGACCCTACCTTTTGCCAGCAAGGTTAAATGGAATTTTTAAAGGCTGAACATGCAAATATGTGGGGTGATGTTATGTTAGATTTAAGAAGATTGGCCTGGTTCCAGCTTGATGGATGTCCAGCTCATTATTCGAGAATAGTTAGAAACTGGCTTGACGAAAATTATCCAGAAAGATGGATCGGCCGTGGAGGACCAGTCGCCTGGCCTCCACGATCCCCTAACCTAAATCCATTAGATTTCTTTGTGTGGGGATTTCTAAAATAAAAAGTTTACCAGACTCCCGTAACCACAAGAGATATGCTAATAGACAGAATCAGGAATGCATGTGATGAAATAAGCCCTTATTTGAATAATGCACGTTCGATCATTCGTAGATGTGAATTGTGTATTGAACAATTGGGTTTACATTTCGAGCAACTACTTTAGATTTTGTATGTTTGTCCTAACTATCCAATAGCATTTTAGTTGTAAATAATTAATTTAATTTGTTAAAAATAATATTGGAAAATTAAACAAATTAATATTCTGTTTTTTTTTTGTGTTTATTTGGAGTTAGGAATTATTGCTGTGTTTAAAAACACAATCTAAACGATCATCTTAATTACTTGTAATGCCCAAATCGAAAATGTAAAAAAATAATATTATTTTCCCATAAATAATAAAAAATGCATCGAACCTTAAAAATCGAAATGTCTCAAAAACGGCTAACTATAACGAAAACTTACAGGAGAGCATTTTTATGCAGAAAAGTCCGAAGAATCAGTTTTTTTATTCAAAAAGCAAAAAATTGCACTAAAAAAATTTTTTTGGTCATTTTAATACAGTACAGGTACAGTAGAGAGCGCCCTCTAGCGGCTACAGTAAAACTATGTCCGTGGTTCGTTTTGTCGTACCAAAAAACCCTTGTATACCAATTTTCACTGTTATAAATCAAATATTGTTCGAAATATTTAAAAAAAACAATTTTAAAAAGTAAATTTAAACACCCTGTATTTCGGCAGCCACGCATTTTTCGACTCATGTTTATATAGACTTTATGCATTAATTTTATAAGTTCTATCGAATCTTAAAGTTATGCAACAATAAACTGAAACACCCTGTATACCATTTCTTAAAAAAAAGACTTGACCGTCTGTATGGTGGCGCGTGCCCCCTTGCCCTCCGTCTAAATCCGCTAGCATGTTTATTCATTAGGTATCACGAGGTAAATTAGTGAATCAGCTATGATGGTCGCTATCATGCCCAGAGAGATTCAGTGACTAAAAGTTTATGCACATCTTCGAATAGTCGTTTTACCGTAAAGATCTCAATATTCCTTTCGTCGATTTTGTTGGATTGTATCACCAATAAATGTGTTTGTTCCATCTGGAATTTGTTAATAAACGAAATGCGGTCATGACAGGGCGTAATGATAAGTGGTCTATAAATTATGCCATGAGACTGAGTTTTTAAAATTCCTTATTCAAATATTTTTACCTCTTAACCAGCGCTGCAAACGCTTCTTCCACTCCTCTTTGTTAGTGCTGGAACTCCGACACTGAAATAGCCTTCAGATGGCCGGTTACAGCCATTTGAATGCTTTCGAATGTCCTTGAGGTCATTTTTCAACTTTGGGAATAGAAAAGGTCACAAGGATTCAGACGAATAAGGAGGCTGAGGAGTCACAGGAATGTTCGTACTTGCCAAAGACTCGTTTAATGGCATTGCTGTGTGACAAAGAGCATTATCTTGATGCAACAACTAGTCGTTTTTCATTTTTGATTTAACACGAAGTTTTTGTTTTTAGAGAACCACCCGGTAAAAGTGTTGCTTGACCGATTGGCCTTGAGGTAGAAACCAAATCAGGATGCATTTGATCGTCGACTTCGTCTTTATTGCATTTCTAGGCATTGGAGAGGTTGAAGTGTGTCACTCCATGCTCTGGAGCTTGCTTTGTGGGTCGTACTCAAACACCCAAGACTAGTCACCAGTAATGACACGTTTCAGAAAATTGAGGTCATTTTCAATCGAATCCAAAATGTCAAGACACCTTTCCTTCTTGATGTCCTTTTGGACTTGCGAAACGTTTTTTGGAACCATTTTTGCACAGATTTTTCGCACCCCCAATTCACTGGTCAAAATCTGATGAGCGGTGGTGAGAGTCAAATTTACCTCTTCCTCGATGATTCTGACTGTCAACCCACGATCTGAATGTACAATATCCCGGACTGTGTCGATATTTTCATCGGTTCTCGAAGATGATGGCGTTCCGCTTCATGGTTCATCTTCAACCGACTCTCTCCATTCTGAAAATGCCTTAAAGTCAAAACCTGATAGCACTCTATTGATCGAAATTGATGTCGCTCATTTGTGGAACACAACAGACAAAACTGTTACAGAAAAAAGTCGTCACGGACAACCACATAACTCGAGCGGGTTGAAACTTGTACTGAAGGCGAATCACATGTACCCGTGCCTACCCTACAACCCCGGCGCCTCGAATGTTGCCAGATCGAACGCTACGTTGTCAGGCTCATTCCTTAATTTACAGACCTCGTAGACGCGATCAGTCAACTGGTCTGTCGCCGTGAGCTGCGCGGGTTCATATCTCGTCCCAAGAGCATTTTCTCTTGGCTCTAGGTAAGTGGTACATATTCTAGCGTGGAAGTACCACCCGGCGGATCTCTGAGATCGGGCCAGCATATGGGCATGTCACATGCACACGTGCTTTTTCACTGCAGTCCGTATGACGACCCCCCCCCGTAAGTAAAAATGGACGATTTTAACGATTTTAAGTGCTTCATTTGTGTCCCTATAAAAAATGTGTTAGTGTATAACCGTTATTTCGTAGTTTCAAGTTTTTTTTAGTCGCTATTGGTAAGTACATTTTAGGTTTGTACTTTCCGATCTACCTGCCTCCACTACTTCCGGACGGACGAAAATATGAATTGTGACATCCACTTATGCAGTTCCACTAGTGCGTGGACACTATCGAAGTCAGTTTAGTTGTTGCAGAAACATAAAAATCACGCAAACTAACTGTAAATCTTGTTTTCAGTCGCGTTTTCATGTTTCCGTACGACAGCAAGCTGCTTTCTCTGTAACCAATGGATGTCCTTAGGTCTTTGTTCATTTAGAGGTTGGAATTGAATGACTAAAAGGCATTGTTGTTGGTATGGTTTCAACATAGTGGCGATTCTAGGAGTGGGGCCCGAAGCACAAAGTTCCGATGGTGCCGCCGTACATTTTAGTTCATCATAGAACATACAGTTGCGAACATACTGTATCCTCAATTGTTATAGAAAAACGTGGAAATATTTCTAGTACAGAAAGTACATCAGAACAGAACAAAAAAGTGTCTATAAACGTGAAGTCTTGAAGGTAAGTTACTGCGTCACTGATGCGACTGAATAAGGACAAAACATAAATATTTCCCGCACAACACTATGGTGAGTTAAGATTACTCTCCTAATACGCTACATACAATTTGAATGTCAAACTTCAGCGCTTTGAACGCAGAATGGGTTGAGGTCTTCAGGCGAATTTTACCACAAATGTTTTAACCTATATTTTACAGAAAAAAAATCGTTCCTACAAAAGAATGCAATAGGTGCTCCAAAAGTGTCAGTGT